ACTGTCAGAAAATTTCTCCCTATTTCTAGGTTGAATCTCTCCTTGATTAGTTTACATCCGTTGCTTCTTGTCCTGCCTTCAGGCGCTTTGGAAAATAGTTTGACTCCCTCTTCTTTGAGGCAGCCCCTGAGATATTGGAACACTGCTATCATGTCCCTTCTCGTCCTTCTCTTCATTAAACTAGACATATCCAATTCCAGCAGCCGTTCCTTATATGCTTTAGCCTCCAATCCCCTAATCATCTTTGTTGGTCTTCTCTGCACTCTTTCTAGAATCTCAACATTTTTTTTATAGTGTGGAGACCAAAATTGGTTGCAGTATGGAAAGAAGGATTACAGAGAGATAACTGGTAACGGAGAGATGCACTCTTCTGCCTAGCATCCCCTGCTGGAGGAGAAAATCCAGTTGCTTTTTACAGCAAGGTCATGCATTGATCTACTCCCCAAGTGTAGTAGTAAGAAACAGTCATAAGATAAAATTCTTATCTTTAGAATTTATCCATTGGGTGAGTGAAGAGAGACGGCAAACGGGAGCTTGACCAGCAAGGTCAAAGGGAAGACATTTTTTTTCTTTTCTTTCACCCTTTTCTTCTACTTCTTTTGCCATCCACAACCAGAGATCTTGCTTAACAAAATTGCCTACTTTCTTGGCAGGGTCCAAGCCTTACATCTTCCATGTCCTGCGCTTGCCTAGACCAGTGATGGCGAACATTTTAGAGACCGAGTGCCCAAAAACCGTCCCCGCCCCTGCTCCACTTCCTGCCCCGCCCCTGCTCTGCCCCCACCTCATCCCCCACCCTGCCTGCCCGCAAGGCCACTCACCGCCTCCACGGCCCACCGCAGATTGCCCAGGCAGCCCAGCAGCACCATGACAGCCATGCCCTCTGCCCGCACCCCGCAGCATCAACTGTGGGGATTGAGGGCAGAGTCTTGTCCACGTTGCCTCGCTGCCATGTCCTTGGCTGCACTGCTCCGCATGGGCCACGCTCGTCGGCGACTCTCCTCCAGGCGGGCTGCTGGTGAGGGGGTTGTGGGGGGAGGCGAGGCTGGGGCAACGGCACGTGTGCCCACAGAGAGGGCTCCAAGTGCCTTCTGTGAAATCCTTTCCACCTTCTACTGTCAGGTGATCTTTATTCTCAGCTGCAACTTCATCATTTGCAATAATACCTTTATTCAGACAATGCTAAGTATTTCAAAACTGCACAGCCTCTTAATTTAATTGGGAAGAATTAAGCACTGCATTTTCTGCCCTGCCCTGCCCTGCCCTGCCCTGCCCTGCCCTGCCCTGCCCTAGCTTTTGTTTTTGGGTGGGGGTGGTGCTGATAAAGTCTGGAATCTTATTTGCAGTAATGTCCAGGTGCTGCACCAATCCCCCAAAAGCATGCTTTGGCAGAGTAGCTTTAATATTCTTAAACATGGACTCTGTTAAGGAAAAGGGACAAAATTAAATTACCATCTTCAGTTCTATTCTTCAAAAATGAAGAGGTGTTCCCAATTGCAATGTTTATTTGTAGCTTCAAAAAACATGCAGTGCTCCTAATAATACAGTACTCCACTGATGTTTCTCAGCTACTGATGCCCCCTTCCCCTTTGTTGGTACAAACAGGATCTGGCTGCTCTGGTCCTTCTCACCTGTCATTCCCTCCCTCCCGATTTCCTATCATGTACACACAAACATTTATTGCCCTTTCATCTTTCCCCTTTTTATCCCCCCCCCGCTTCATCTTTTGATGGCAGAATGCCTGTGAGGCCCCAGCCGAGCCAGGCAGAGCTGACACTGGTGCTTTACATCTTGTTAATGTCATGGTTCCGACTAACGATCCCAACCAAATCAGAACTCCGAGGCTAGCAGTTTCCTCAAAGAACATGTTTATTGGGTACATCATATCAGCATGTTCAAAAGTGAAACCCAACTCTGAATATTTCCCGTGGGTTCAGCATAATTAAAAGTATCAAACTCCTTTCCCCCAAGTGTCACAAATCACGCGGTCCAATGGAGTTAATTGGTGTGCTCTTAGTCACTCCTCCCCATCTTCCTCCGACACCTGTGGAGGTGACCTTGGTTCCCACGGTCGTTCTGTGTTATGTCTAGCAATACATCCAGTCTCATTCCCCCTTCCCCCTTCTAAAGTGTGTGGCAACTGTGTACAAAAGAAAATGGCTTCAGCCAGGTTCATTGCAGAAGTTGACAGCTGAGGCTTTAGGCATCATTTCATCAGTTAAAGTCTCCAGGTCTCTAAAAGTACCTTAGAAGGTTTGACTGTAACCACTTTGGGATAATTTTCAGGCTGAAAACACATGGACTTTCCACCTATATACATTTGTACATTTGTGAGATGTGTTTGAATACTAGTAACTCAGATTGGTAGCTGGGCTGTTGGTTTGATCTCTGGGCTTGGTAATTAGGTTGCAAACGTTTCATCTCCGGGGAGACCTCTTCAGTGTGGTTTGAATTGTGTTTGGTTTGTTTCGAACGTTGCTTCCGGTATTTCAGTTGACGTAGCTCTCTCTCAGTCGTTGGTAGGCGGGGTCGATGTCAATGTGTCTATTCACTGATTGGTTGGTGGAGAATCAGGCCTTGAGGAATTCTCTTTCTCTCCTTGACTTTGCTTGGCTTATAATTGTGGTCCCGGTTAGATTGAACTTGTGTCCTTCCGAGTCCTCATGGAAAGACATGAGGAATAATGGGTCATGTCTTTTGATAGTCATTGCAACACCACAGAAGCCAGATCAGCAGATCAGAGACACTTATACAGAGTCTTTGAGAGAAATGTATATCGACAAAACTTCATCCAGAGATCTCTACACACAAATAACGCAAATGCCCAAAAGAACACAACAACTACAACAGGAGCAGCAACAACCAAATGAATCACAATTCCTTACATACAATTCCTTACATAAGGGCGAACGACTGCCATGGTGCTGCAATTATTCGTAATTTCAGGACTTGCTCGTAAGCACTAGGGCAGGGCTTTTCAACCAGTGGTACAGGTACCACCTGTGGTACATTGGCACCTGGCAGGTGGTATGTGACCATCCTAGAAAAGTGGTAGCGGGGGAGGGGAATGAGCTGAACTGGTGGCAGCACCGCACAAGCCTGAGCAAGAGATGGCTGGAGCTGCACGGCTCTCAGGGCTCAGCAGAAGCGCCAGGATCAGTGCCGCTTTCCAGCTGATTGGTGCTTCTTCGGGGCTGTCAGGGCTCAGTGGAAGCGCCAGGATCAGCGCCAGGCTCCAGCTGGAGCTCAGCACTGATCCTGGTGCTTCTGCTAAGCCCTGAAGAAGCACCAATCAGCTGGAATGTTGCAGCATCTCCAGGGTCTTGTGATTTACATTCAGATGCTTGGCAACTGATTCATATTTATGACGGTCACATTGTCCCAGGGTCATGGGAAGCGACCAAAACCTGCTGCAACCACCCAGCAGACGTGGGGAATAAAAACCAAACACCCCCCACCCCACCCCCGCTGCCAATCCTCAACAGAAATTCTCACAACAATGAAAACCTTGGACAGGAGGAAGAGCGCGGCTGGGCAGGCAGGCAGGTGTCTTGCTCGGCTGTGTCTTGGGGGGCACTTTTTTCAGCGCCATTGTAACTTCAAACAGTCACTAAGTGAACTATTGTAAGTTGAGGAGTACCTGTACTTCATCACTTTTTTCCTTTTTTTTTTTTGATCAAGTTTTTGACACCTTGCTAGGCGACTGGTGGTACTCGGATACTGCCATATCCCAAAAGTGGTTGAAAAGCCCTGCACTAGGGGGCGCTCATCATGTAACTTTGAACAAGCGTTAAGTGAACACTCTTAACTCGGGGATTACCTGTATAACCCAAGCAAAGTCAAGGAGAGAAAGAGAATTCTTCGAGGCCTGGTTCTCCACAAACCAATCAGTGAACAGACACATTAACACTGACCCCGCCTACCAACAACTGAGAGTGAGAGAGCTACTTCAACTGAAATACCGGAAGCAACATTCCAAACACAATTCAAACTGCAATGAAGATGTCTCCCCGGAGATGAAACGTTTGCAACCTAATTACCAAGCCTGGAGATCAAACCAACAGCCCACATTTGTATGTGTGTATATTTGTATTTTTTCTCTGTACGCATATATCTACAACTGTATAATTCCCCGCACTTCCAGATATATTTGATGATAACAGTTTGCACTGCTAAGCATTTGTGACTGACCCAAGACAAAAAGAGAATTTCATGACTGAATGGATATTTGAACTTGGATCTCAGTAGTCTGCCATGTGTCAAATGAATCATAATTAATGTAAGAAGTTTTTCTTGTATTGTGGCATGTTTGCTTATTCATTGAAATGTGTACTTTTTCCTTTTTTTTCCACATCTTCTGAAGCCATTTTATACACAATTAAAGTTACATTTTTCTTTCAATCTTATAGATAAAGAGGATAGCTATAAGAACACTCTGGACAACTGAGAATAACAAGCAGCTTTTAAAAGGAAAGCAAATCAAGCCAGAAATCAAAATATTTTCCATTTCCTTCAGAAAGCCGCAAAATCCTTCATCTTCCTCAGCAGGTGAGAGAGAAATAAGAGAAAACCAAGAAGAGATTTGAAGCTGGTAAAAGTAGAGTTCACGAAACTCAAGGATACATTACACAAAAAAATCAAGGGAGATTATTTTTCATTCAGAAAAAGAGGGAAATATCTGGAAGTCAGTGGCAAGAAAAGGTCAATTAGACAGGCACGTAGAGCAGACAGTAAGGCAGGCCTCTGTGAGGAAAAAAAACGGCTTGAATCAAAGCACTACTAAACAAGGGATCACCCATATTTTTGACCCCCTCAAGAATATCAGTGGTGGAAAAGCTGCATGGATGTGCCAATTGTGGGAAAAACACAATAGTACATAACAACTGATTATGCACGAGAAGATCCATACTGTAGAAAAGCCATTGAAATGCTAGAAATGTTGCAAAAGGTTTAGTCTGAACATCTCTCTTGTGGTTCATGGAAAGACACAGATAGGACAGATGCCCTACAAATTCCTTCGCTGTGGTAAATGCTTTAGCAACTACGGTAACTTGGTGATACATCACAGGACTCACACCAAGGAGACAGTGTGTGAGTGTCCAGTTTGTGGGAAAAGTTTCATTAGAAATTCCCACTTCATGAGTCACCAGAGGATTCACAAAGGGAAATTCTTTGAATGTCCTGACTGTGGGAAAAGTTTCAGTCAGAATTCCCACCTGGTGATACACCGGAGGACTCACACAGGCGAGAAACCCTTTGAATGTCCTGACTGTGGGACGCGTTTCCGTCAGATTTCTAACCTGGTGACACACCAGAGGACTCACACAGGAGAGAAACCCTTTAAATGTCCCGAGTGTGGGAAAAGTTTCAGTCAGATTTCTAACCTGGTGACACACCAGAGGACTCACACAGGAGAGAAACCCTTTGAATGTCCTGATTGTGGGAAAGGTTTCAGTCATAATTCTAGCCTGGTGATACACCAGAGGATTCACACAGGAGAAAAACCCTATGAATGTCCTGAGTGTGGGAAACGTTTCGGTTATAATTCCAGCCTGACAATGCACCGGAGGACACACATAGGAGAAAAACTGTATGAATGTCCAGAGTGTTGGAGTAGTAAGAATTATAGTAAAAATTTTAGTAAGAATTCCAGCCTAGTGACATATCAGCAAATTCACACAGGAGAGAAACTGTATGATTGTACGATTTGTGGTAAAAGTTTCAGTCAGAATTTCTACCTGGTGAAAAAGCAAAGGACTTACACAGGAGAGAAATTATATGAGTGTTCAGATTGTGGGAAAAGTTTCACTAGAAAATTCCAGCTCACAAGTCACCAGAGCATACATACAGGAGAAAAATCGTTCAAATGTCCTGAGTGTGGGAAAAGTTTCAGTCAGAATTCCAGCTTGGTGAGACACCAGAGGACTCACACAGGAGAGAAACCCTTTGAATGTCCTGTCTGTGGGAAAAGTTTCACTCGGAATTCTGACCTGGTAATACATCAGAGGATTCACACAGGAGAGAAACCATATGAGTGTCCAGATTGTGGGAAACGTTTCAGTCGAAATTCCAACCTGGTGAAACATCAGAAGACTCACACAGGAGAGAAGCCCTTTCAGTGTCCTGATTGTGAGAAACGTTTCAGTCAGAATTATGAACTAGTGATACACCAGAGGATTCACACAGCAGAGAAATCATATGAGTGTCCAGAGTGTGGGAAAAGTTTCATTAGAAAATTCCAGCTCAAAAGTCACCAGAGAATACACACAGGAGAGAAACCATTTGAATGTCTTGATTGTGGGAAGAGTTTCAGTCAGAACTCCGGCCTGGTGAGACACCAGAGAACTCACACAGGAGAGAAATTCTTTGAATGTGCTCTTTGTGGCAAAAGTTTCAGTCAAAATTACAGCCTGGTGATACACCAGAGGACTCACACAGGAGAGAAACCGTATGAGTGTCCAGATTGTGGCAAAAGTTTCAGTCACAATTCTAACCTGGTGAAGCATCAGAGGATTCACACAGGAGAAAAACCCTTTGAATGTCCTGATTGTGGGAAAGGTTTCAGTCAGAATTATGAACTAGTGATACACCAGAGGATTCACACAGGAGAGAAACCCTTTGAATGTCCTAATTGTGAGAAAAGTTTCAGTCAAAATTCCCTCCTGTTGATTCATCAGAGGACTCACACAGGAGAGAAACCATATGAATGTCCAGAGTGTGGGAAAAGTTTCAGTCAGCGTTCCAGTCTGGTGACACACAAGAGGATTCACACAGGAGAGAAACCATTTGAATGTCCTGATTGTGGGAAAAAATTCAGGGAAAATTCCAGTCTGGTGAGACACCAGAGGAATCACAAAGGAGACAAACCCTTTGAATGTGCTGTTTCTGGCAAAAGTTTCAATTGGAATTCCAACCTGGTGATACACCAGAGGATTCAAATCGGGGGAGACCTGTCAAATATCCAAATATCTGTGGATTGATTTCAGGCAAAAATCATCCCTTGTTGAACATAAGGGATTCGTCATGAGGCAAAGGTTAATGAATTTAACGAAGGCTTGATTTTCATTTCTGATCTCCCATTGAGATATCACAAATCAGATCCAAATGTTGGGGAAAGAGGGCAGGATATGAATTCCTGGGCCTCGTGACTACATCTTGGAAGCAGCCGTTATTTTCACTGTGGTTTGGATTCATCCTTGGGCCCTGGGGTGGGCTTGTGGAAGCAGCTGCCATTTTGTCATGCCTGCCTCTGGGTCAGAATGGTCGCTGCTTCTTGGTCACTGTTTCATGGGAGAGGGACAGACTGATCTGTTTTGCTACCTTAACACATTGTAGATTGCGTTAAGAGATTGTGAGTGCACTGAAAATGGTGGCTGCCTCTGGAGCGCATGATAAGTGGACAAGTACCACTTGCACCATTATTGTGCTGCAGCTGCCAAAAAAAGCCAGTGCAGTCCTAGGTTGCATCAACAGAGGAATAGTGTCAAGACAACAAAAAGAGAATTGCTTTACACAGTGCTGGTGACACCACACTTAGAATACTGTGTCCAGTTTTGGTCACCACAATACAAAAAGTTGTTGAGACCCTGGAAATTGTGCAGAGAAGAGTGGTAAGGATGATAATGGATCTGGACACTAAATCATGGTGATCAGTTGTGGGAGATAGGTATATCTAGGCTATCAAAGGAAATCATTAGGAGGGACATGATAGCTGTCTTCCAGTACTTGAGGTGCTGTCACCAAGAAGAGGGGATTGACTTACTCTCTAAGGCACCTGAGGGCAGGACAAGAAGTAATGGGTGGAAGTTTAGGACAAGAAGTAATGGGTGGAAGCTTATTAAAATGAGATCCAACGTAGAAGTAAGGAGAAATTTTCTGTCAGCGAGGGCAATTAATAGAATAGCTTGCCTCCAGGCATGGTGGCTGCTCCATCACTGGAGGATTTCAAGAACAAGCTGGACAACCATTTGAGTGGGATGGTGTAAGGCTCCTGCCTTGAGCAGCGAGTTGGACTAGAAGACCCCCAAGTTCCCTTCCAAGCCTATCATGCTATATTTCCATGAATTTAGAGACAGTTTAGAAAATAGGTGCAGAACAACCCTATGATCTTGCTTCTGGTAAAGAGGCTTTTTTAAAAGAAAAAAATATTTTATCCAGAAAGTTAATATAAATACAAACTACAAAAAATATATATGATTTTTTTCAAAAAATAAAACAAGGATAGACAATATATTTTAACAGGAAAAAAAGGTTCTATTTTATACCCAGTACTCTTGAATAGCTTCATAAATGACTTAGATGATGGAATAGAAGGGAAACTCATCAAATTGGCAGATGACACTAAGCTGGCAGGAATATCCAACACGCCAGAAGACAAGCTCAGGATCCAAAAAGATCTAGACAGACTTGATCAGTGGGCCCTATCCAAGAAGATGAAAATTAATGTGGAGAAAAGCAAGGTTTTACACCTTAATAAGAAAAAGCAAAGGTACAAGTGCAGATTAGGCAAAACCTGGCTCAAAAACAGTAACTGAGAGGGACCACTTAAACATGACACAGCAGTGTGCAGCAGCAGCCAAAAAAGCTAATAAAATCCCAGGTTGTATAAACAGGCATAGAAGCCAAATCACGTGAAATATTAGTAAAGCTTTATAAAACCTTAGTAAGGGCACACTTAGAATACCGCATCCAGTTTTGATCACCACATTACACAAAATATGTTGAGACTTTGGAAAAAGTGCAAAGAAGAGCAACTAAGATGATTAAAGGTCTGGAGACAGACAAACACATATGAAGAACAATTGCAGGAATTGGGTATGGCCAGTCTAGAGAAAAGGACTAGGGGTGACATAATATTCCAGTATTTGAGGGGCTGCCACAAAGAAGAGGGGGCCAAGTTATTTTCCAAAGCAACAGAAGGCAAGACAAGAAACAATGGAAACTAATCAAGGCGAGAAACAACCTAGAATTAAGGAGAAACTTCCGAACAGGACAATTAACAAGTGGAACAGCCTGCCTTCAGAAGTTGTAGGTGCTACATCACTGGAGGTTTTTAAGAAAAGACTGGATAACAGTCTATCTAAAATGGTATAGGGTCCCCTGCTTGAGCATGGGCTTGGACTAGAAGACCTCCAAGGTCCCTTCCAACTCTATTCTCATTGATTGATAGACATGAGCCAGTAGTGTGCTGTTGTTGCCGAAAAAGCCAATACAATCTTAGGCTGCATTAACGGATAGAATCAAGACTCGTGAAGTATTATAAAGCCTTAATAAGACCACACTGGCAATATTGCATCCACTTTTGGTCACCACCATATATTGAGTGTGAAGTACAGAGAAGAGCAACAGGAATGATTAGAGGGCTGCAGGCTAAAACATGATGAGCAGTTGCAGGAATTGGGTAGCCCCTCAAATTATGGAACATGGCTATCATATCACCCCTAGTCCTCCTTTTCTCTAGACTAGCCATACCCAAATCCTCCAACCGCTCTTCATATGTTTTAATTGCCAGGCCCTTAATTATCTTAGTTGTTCTTCTCTGCCCTCTTTCCAAAGTCTCATCATCTGTTTTATAATGGGGTGACCCAAACTGGATGGAGTATTCCAGATGTGGTCTTACTAAGTTTTTGTATAGTGGTACTAATACATCACATGATCTTGACTCTATCCCTCTGTTTATGCAACCAAGGATCGTATTAGCTTTTTTGGCTGCTGGTGCACACTGCTGGCTCATATTTAAGTGACCGTCCACTAGGCATGAAGATGACTGTTTAAACCTCTCGGACAATTGAAAGTAAGAGTTCCAAGTAAATTTGCAACTCTTTAGGGCAGAGTCCGCCAGCCTTTCCAGATTGGTGGCCCGGAGAGGGGGGTAGGGGGGGAATGAAACTCATGTGAGTGTGGCCCGCAACAAGGTTTGCGCAAGTGGGGCCGTGCGTGCGAGTGGGAGTGCCCACATGCAACGGCTGGCCACTCATGCGGCCCAGTGGTGATTAGGCCACGGCCTGGTAGCAGGTCAGGACCCACAGATTGGGGACTCCTGCTTTATGGGACATTTTGGGACTTTTCTGCATGGACACTAACAAGGTCGAAAATACTTTGAGAAATATAACTTCATATTTATTTGATAGATATTCTAGAGAAGACAAAGTGTTTATGAGAATAAACTGGCGGAAGTGACTTAAATTTAATGAGGTAATTGAAGTTACTTGGATTTTTATTGGCCTGATAACATGTAATAGAGATATAGCTTTAATAGTTTGTGTTTATAAAGTGGGTTTGAAAATGTTTTTTTCCCTTCATATATAATGCTTGAGTCATTTTAAGCTTGTAAAATATAACTGAAAGCGAACTTTATAGTATGTATGTTAAAAGACGTTCAAAAAAAGATGTACTAGAACTGACCAATTTTAGAAATGTTTTTAAAGAAAAGTTTCAATGTGTATAAAAAGTATTTCTTTTCCCTTTAAGGTTAAAAAAAATCTGAAAGAATAGAGAGAATTTTGTTAATAGAAATGATGATAATACACAAGGATTAATAACTGTAAGCAGAAGTATTTATTGTTTCCCACAGCCAGGAAAAAAAGTAGAGATGCTTTGATTGATTCCTTTATCTGAAGAAGAGAATATATCTAATTTTGCTTTTATTTGGAAATCGTTTCTGGATTTTGTGCTTGTGATGGGAGAAAAATAAAACTTTGCTTTTGCTCATTAGATCAGTTAGTTAAAAAATAACTAGTATAAGCGACTGTGCAAAAGTAAAGTTGAAGTTGTAACCTTATATTCAGTTATGCTAAAAAGAGTCAGATGTCAACGTTTCCCCCCCCCTCTAGCCCACATTTTTTCTTCTTCCTGTCAAGTTCGGAAGTCTCTAGAGTCTAGAGAAAAGAAGGACTAGGGGTAGCATGATAGTATTCCAGTATTTGAGGGGCTAGCACAAAGAAGAGTGGGACAAGTTATTTTCCAAAGCACCAGAAGGCAAGACAAGAAATGATGGAAACCAATCAAGGCGAGAAACATCCTGGAATTAAGGAGAAACTTCCGAACAGGACAATTAACAAGTGGAACAGCTTTGCCTTTAGGAGTTGTAGGTGCTTCATCACTGGAGGTTTTTAAGAAAAGACTGGATAACATTCTATCTGAAATGGTATAGGGCAGTGGTGACGAACCTATGGCACGGGTGCCAGAGGCGGCACTCGGAGCCCTCTCTGTGGACACACGTGCCGTTGCTCCAGCCTCGCCTCCCCCCATGACCCCCTCCTCTCCAGCAGCACCCCTGAAGGAGAGTCGCCCCTGAGCGTGGCCCACGCGGAGCAGTGCAGCCAAGGACATGGCAGCCAGGCAGCGTAGACAAGACTGCCCTCACACCCCATCGTGCACAGTTGATGCTGCAGGGCGCAGGTAGAGGGCGTGACTACCATAGCGCTGCTGGTCTGCCTGGCCGATCTGCGGCGGGCCCTGGAGGCGGTGAGTGGCCCTGTGGGCAGGCGGGGCAGGGGATGGGGCGGAGCAGGGGCGGGGCCAGTTTTTGGGCACTCGGTCTCTAAGAGGTTCGCCATCACTGGTATAGGGCCCCCTGCTTGAGCATGGGATTGGTTGGTTGCTGATTAGATAGGTTAGTTAAGAAATAACTAGTATAAGCGACTGTACAAGTAAAGTTGAAGTTTTAACCTTATTCTATTATGCTAAAAAGAGTCAGATGTCAACATTTCTACCCTCTCTACCCCACATCCATGCCTTTTCAGATTCTTTCTTTCTTTCTTTCTTTCTTTCTTTCTTTCTTTCTTTCTTTCTTTCTTTCTTTCTTTCTTTCTTTCTCTTGCCAACAGAGACAGGAGGGGGAGAATGAAACGTGGGTCGTATCTGCAGCTGTAGAGATTGTTTTGGAAACTGAAGGCTCTTTCTCATAATAATTGTCTGATGCTTAATTGGGTAAAGTGACCTGCACTGTCG